TGCCCGATTTGGTAGTTTCTAATAATGGGCCCCAATTCATGGCTAACCAATTCGAAATGTTTTTAGCTAGTCAGGGGATCTGGCATGCACTATCTGCACCGGGAAAAACATCCACTAATGGATTGGTGGAATGGATGGTGAGAACAACCAAGGAGACCCTAGCAAGATTGGGCCCGGGAGACATACAAGCGAAGATAGATAAACTGCTTAGTATACAGCACATAACACCGAGCACCAACACACACAGAAACCCTGCAGAACTGCTAATGGGGAGGAAGCTAAGGTCTAATTTAGACAGACTACATCCCCATTACAGCACAGAGAAACCAGTAGATTCAACCAGTAAGGTTAGACAGTTCCACATAGGGGACAAAGTGTATGCAAATAATTTCAGTGGAAACCCTTTATGGGTCCCAGCAGAAATAACTCAAATCACATGCCCTCTATCCTACCGGATAGAAATGGAGGATGGCCGGAGCAGGAAAAGACACATAGACCAATCAGAGGCCGAATAGTCAGAAAGGAACACGACTCACAAGACAAAACACAAGGGCGACAAAAAAAACTTCACATAGAAACCACAGAAACAGGCCTGGCCCTACACAGAACACAAACAAACGGACAACAGAGACAGCACTCAAACCTGACCAGCGACAGCGAACACTTATCTGGGGTCCAGGAGAGAGTTCTTGAGGGCAGCGACAGTCCACCGTTCCAGCTGGGGGAGGAAGGGATAGATGTCCAGTAAGATAGAGTTCGAGAGAGTTCCAAAAGCACCTTCGGGAGACACACAGAATTCAACCTCTCGCTCCAAGACCATTGTAACAACTGAACTGCTCAGGTCGTCGTGCCCCGAGAAGACCCACCTACTTGCGTGATTACGTGGCTTAAGAGACTCCAGGATTGGTCAATGCTGATCTAGAGGGGAGGGGTGTTGAGTATTGAATGACAATATAAATGGACCAATTAGATTCAAACAAATGGAGCAGGAAATTTGGAAGCTGTCAGTGGCTGAAGCCATGGACAGCTCTCTCTAAAAGAGGCTGCCAAGGCTCACAGTTCATTGCTGTACCAGAGCTAATAAACTGCTATAACTGAAATCCTAGTCCTGTGTTCCTTCTGCGCCCACTATCTAACAACCTCCAAGGTCCCTTCCAATTCTGTATTCTATTCTATTCTATTCTGTCTTTAATTTTGGGCCTTATGGAAAAAGACTTGGAGAAAAAAATTGGAACTTTGTTACTATATATGTTGACAGCAGCAAGACTATTGTGCGTGCAAAAATGGAAGAAACTTTGATTCCTACCATGGATGAATAGTTGCAGCAACTGATGGAGTTGGTTGAAATGGCAAAATTAACTATTTTGATTAAAGAAAAGATCACTTCTGAACTTTGTGCTTGAAGTGGAAAAGAATGAAACTTTGATTTTGGGTTTTACCAATTAGACTGGTATATCCTTATAGAAATGACTAGTTTATATTATTATGAAAAAAACAAAAAGTTGTGATTTGATGTTAATGCCTCATTTTACTGTAACAGAGAGAGTTGGTAGTCAATACTTCTTTTTCTTTTTCCTAATCCTTTCTCACTTTTATTTCCCCCCGCCTTCCCCCCGCCTTCCACCCCACTGTTTTCCTACTTACTTTCATATTTTGTATCTTATTTTATCTAATAACTCAATAAAAATTAATATATGTCCTAGGAATGAGAATTTATTTCAAAATTTGCATATTATATGACAAAAATGTCTGAATTCCTTCTGCTCTTGAACAAGTCCTTTTTTGACATCATTTTTGTTTGTGAGACTTGGTTGAACGCGTCATTTCTAGACACTTTTTTTTTACCTCAAGTGATTATCACGTTTTTCGGTCTGACCATGAAAATCACAGAGGTGGTAGTGTTGCAATTTTTTACAAAAAGTCCCTAGGATTGAAAAAGATTAATGTTACTCCTGAGCTTGCTTTTCCAGAGTCCATTGTTTGTGACCTGACTCTAAATACTACAAGAATGGCTTCTTGTTATGTTACAGAGCCCCTGATTGTGATCTTGGCCATGGGAAAAAGTGAATTGAACTATTAACCTGGGCGGCTTCTTGCCCACATCCTTTTGTTCTTCTTGGCAACTTTAATTTGCAATTAGTTAATTGGGCCTTAAATGAATCAACAAGTGAATCAGTGATCATAATATGATTGACTTTTGTATCAATCTGTATCCTCCTAAACTGGGTCTTAATGACTGTTCTCCAAATTACAATTTTAAAACAGCAAACTATGATTTAATAGCTGCTGATTTTGCATCTTTAAATTGGCACCATCTGTTTTCAGGTTGTAAAAATGTAGATTTTTAGAACATCTTTTTGCTTGAAATTAATCGAGCTATAAATTATTACGTACCAAAAAAAGCCAAAAACATTATAAAGAATAAATTACCCAAGGCAATAAGAAAATTACAATCTAAGAAAAAAATCTCATTGGCAGAACAAGAAGATAGGTTAGGTTGCCAACTTCAAATGCTGCTACAAAGTCTTATGTCATCAAATTAAAGGTGAATGAACCAATTATCTCTGTAAACAGAAGAAAAGCTGTTAAACTCAAACTCTATGTGAGCCTTTTACAACTTTGTTAACTCGAAACTTAAAGACTCACAAGTGATTCCACCCCTAAAAGGGCAAAACGTGGTTGATTGTAATGATAATGTTGGTCAGGCCAATATATTCAATACATTTTAGTTCAGTTTTTGTGGATAGCAATGGTTGCAATCCCTCATTCGCAAGTTGAATCTTAAATAGTTGTAGCAAATTGCTGAATATTAATTTTACAGTAGATAATGTTGAATTAGCATTATGTAATCTAAAGCCATTGCTATCCACAGGACCAGATGGATTATGTGTTCTTTTCTTGCAAAAGCTTGCTACCGTCCTAGCTGAACCTTTGTGTACAATTTTTGAAGTATCGTTTTGAACTAGTTCTTTGCCTGATCTATGGTCATCAGCTATAGTTATATCAATCTTTAAAAAAGGTGACCCTAGTTCGGTAAAAAATTATAGCAATCTCTCTATGCTGTGTTACATGCAAAGTTATGAAATCAATTATAAACCAATCCATTGTTCACCACTTAGAAACAAACAAACAGTTTGGCTTTAGGAAAAAGATATCCTGTAATTTACAACTTTTGCACTGTAAAAACATCTGGACTACATGTCTTGATCAAGGTAAAGCTGTAGATGTAATTTACATAGATTTTTGTAAAGTTTTTGATACAGTAGTACATGATAAACTGCTGTTAAAATTAAACTCTTACGGCATTTCTGGACCTTTGTATAAGTGGATTGCTGCTTTCCTGTCTAATAGACTGCAGAAAGTCAAAATAGGGAACTCGCTGTCTAATCCTGAATTAGGTAACAATGGTGTTCCTCAAGGCAGCATTTTAGGTCCCACGTTTTTCTTGCTTTATATCAACTATTTATGTGATCAGCTTAAAAGCAATTGTGTCCTGTTTGCTGATGACATAAAATTATTTAATACTACAGATAATTCTGTTGTTTTGCAAAGTGCTCTTGACTCTGAATGGTCATCTATTTGGCAACTTCAAATTTTGATTAATAAATGGTCTGTCTTACATATTGGTAAACGTAATCAGAATGTCAAGTATAAGCTAGGTGGTATTGATCTAGCAGATGACCCTCACTTTGTCAAGGACCTAGGTGTACTTATTTCTAATGTTCCAAAGTTCATTGTTAACAGCATTACTAAAAAAGCATTAAGTTTGAAAATCTAATTTTGAAAAGCTTTTTTTCTGGAAACCTCATATTGCTAATTAGAGCTTATAAAACTTATGCTAGACCAATCTTAGAGTATTGTTCAATGTTTGGAATCCCCACCATATATCTGACATCAGTACAACCGAGCAGGCTCAGAAGTATTTCACAAGAAAAGTTTTGCACTTTTCTGTATACAATAGAATTCCCTATGCTACTAGGAGGGATGTGGTGGCTCAGTGGCTAAGACACTGAGTTTGTCTATTAAAAGATTGGCAGTTCAGCAGTTCGAATCTCTAGTGCTGCGTAATGGGGTGAGCTCCCATTTTTTATTCCCGCTTCTGCCAACCTAGCAGTTCAAAAACATGTAAAAAATACAAGTAGAAAAATAGGGACCACCTTTGATGGGAAGGTAACAATGTTCTGTGCACCTTTGGCATTTAGTCATGCTGGCCACATGACCATAGAGACGTCTTTGGACAGTGCTGGCTCTTTGGCTTTGAAACGGAGATGAGCACCACCCCCTAGAATCAGGAACGACTAGCACATATGTTCAAGGGGAAATTTTACCTTTACCTTAAAATTCACGGAAGTCAATTTGCAACTGAAACTATGAAAATTTGTAGCTAAGACAACTGGATCAGATAGAGCATTCCAGACTTTGCCAACTGTATTACAGAAATCATATTTTTTTTACAGTCAAGTTTAGAATGATATACATTGAGTTTAAAGTTGTTGCTCATGTGAGTATTATTGCAATTAAAACAGACACATGAAAGGCACACCGAACACTGTTACCTTCCCACCAAAGTTGGTCCCTATTTTTCTACTTGCATTTTTTATGTGCTTTCAACTGCTAGGTTGGCAGAAGCTGGGACAAGTAACAGGAGCTCACTCTGTTACATGGCACTAGGGATTCAAACTGCTGAAAAGTCAACCTTTTGATCAACAAGTTCAGCATCTTAGCCACTGAGCCACCATGTCCCTCTGTCCATGGACCTTACTTCATACTTATGTGGTCAGTAGAAGGGGCAAGCATAAGTGCACAATCGTGCATATTGTCCCTGTCATTGTATTTTTTCTTTTATTTTTGTTCTCATTTTTGTTTGACAAATTCTAATAAATTAAAATAAAATTAAAAGAGCAAGGGTATTCTCATTTTAATATAGCCAAAGAAGGATGCTGGCCCATAAACTATCCATTAATAAATCACTATGAAAAACATATAAAACATGAACGTGCTCCAAAATAAACTTTTCCTTTATTAGCCAAAGGAGCATACAGAACCTAACAAAATTCCATATATGTATATGGCAATTCTTTCAGCTTTTGGCAACATATGGACACATCTGATTATATTAATCAAAATTTACATTCAGGTAATCATCATTCACATTTAACTGCCTATAACACATCCATTCTTTGATCTTGAAACAGATCTATTTTAAGGGCTTCTTTTCTCCATATCAAGTTTTATGTATAAATTAAGTTAAATCAAGGTCAGAGTAATTTTTTAAAATTCCATCAAGATAAATTAATATACATAAATACAGTTCACAATAATCTAAAAATATTTCATTAAAAAAAACCAGTTATTATTCCTTCCTTACTAAATTTTTTTTCCTGTTCATCTCAGGTCTCAGTAAAATGATGTAGCATTTGGGGAAAAATATACACCCCAGTAAACCAGCACTGGAGGATAAGATGGAGAAGATCTCCACAGCTACCATGTATTTTCCTTTGGTGCTCAGATAGGTTGGAACAAATGACAGCCAAACGCTGCAGAAGACCAACATGCTGAAAGTGATGAACTTAGCCTCATTGAAATTGCTGGGAAGCTTCCTGGCTTGAAAAGCAATGTTAAAGCTGACAATAGCCAGGAAGCCCATGTAACCCAGGACACAGTAAAACATGATCACTGAGCCTTCATTGCATTCCATTATGATTTCTCCCTTCAGTGAGTGCAGGTCTGTATCTGGGAAAGGAGGAGAGGTACTCAGCCAAACAGTGCAAATTCCTACCTGAATGAAGGAACCTGAAAGGACAATAGAATTGGCCAGTCCTTTCCCTACCCATTTCCTCAATCCAGAGCCTGGTTTTGTTGCCATAAATGCCAGGATCACAGTCATGGTTTTTGCCAGTATAGATGAAAGTACCACTGAGAAGGAAATGCCAAAAGTCATTTGCCGGAGAAGGCAGGTCATCTTTTTAGGTCTTCCTATGAAGTGGAAGGAGCAGAGGAAACAGAGGAGAAGGGAAAGGAGGAGGATACAAGTGAGGCTCCAGTTGTTGGCTTTGACAATTGGAGTCTCTCGATGCGTCCAAAATAGTCCAAACACGGGGACTGTAATCAAAGTGAAAACAATAGCCAAAGTAACAAAGAGGATTCCTAAAGGTTCGTCATAAGAAAGATAGGTCAACACTTTGGGAATACATTGATTTTGGTTGTTGTTGGGATATTCATTTTCTGGACATTTCATGCAGACATCCATATCTGGAAAAAGAAAAAAGAAATTAGCTTTCCAATATAGCATACTTTATATCAGTATAGAATATATAGTATACAATTGATGTTCGTATGTTACGTATTTTGAGAAGAGAATATACCAATTATTTTTTTAATAAAAGATTATACATCAGTCTCATAAAGTAAATTTGAGCCTGAGGGCCTTCATTATGCACAGAGAATGTTGTTTGAAAATTAAAATCAAATAAAAGTGTTTTCTATCCCTCTCTTCATTTGTAAATTGAGATTGTTACTAATACTGTTAGTATTAGATTGTTACTAATACTCTACTAATACTAGAGCCTTGGTAGTACAGTGGTCTAAAGCACCCTGTTATTAATACCAGCTGCCTGCAATTACTGCAGGTTTGAATCTTGCCAGGCTCAAGGTTGTCTCAGCCTTCCATCCTTTCTCAGGTAGGTAAATTGAGGACTCAGTTGTGGAGGCAATAAGCTGACTTTGTATAAATATACAAAAGGATGAAGGCTATTGCTTAGCACATTGTAAGCCGCCCTGAGTCTCTGGAGAAGGGCGGCATATAAATCAAATTTTAAAAAAAACTGTAACCAGTGATGGGTTGCTACCAGTTCACCCCAGATCGGGTGAACTGGTAGCGGTGGAAGGCTCCCCCCACCTGGCCAGACATCTCTGCGCATGCACAGAAGCTTCTACGCATGCACAGAAGGAAGCACGCGCACCCACAAGCAAACCAGTAGCGACAGGATTTGAATCTCTCTACTGCTGTAGACTCTTAAGTACCCTTCCATTTTGGATTAGCTATATTTGCAATTTCAGAGACAAGTTTGTAAAAATAAATATTATAAATACTTTATACTAATAAATTAATTTCATATATCATTTTAAGAAATTGGAGAAGCCTATTTTGTCTAAATTATGGCAATCAATCTGGATAACCAAATTAAAAATTGAATGGATATAGAATACTTTTATTAGATTTATTATATCAGATTTATTAGAACTTTATTTATTAGAAAACACTAAATTCTCATGTTATTACAGATGTAAAGGGAGAAATGCTTCAATGAATTATATTTTTGTCACATCATACACATTATCCTGCCCTTTGTACTTATTTGACCATGAATTTAATATTTTCAGTTAGCATATTTTTGAACTACATCTCCATTAAATGGAATGTCATAGCTGAATAATGGAAATCAATTTCACATCCTTTTTTGCTTTGCTCAGAGACTAGTCCTTCCAACAGTGGAAGGATAAATTTATGTCACAGATACATTTATAACCTGGTGTTGCCTTAGCCTATGAATGAATTCCTTTAAAATTGATTTATACCCTGCTGATTACATTGCCATTTGTCATCATAAAAAACTTTTGTTTAAAATTTTAATTGCATATATACATGCATGAGAAGGAGATATATAAGAGAGCAAGATAGGGAGAGACAGAAAGAAAGAGAAGAAAGAATATTATGGAGGGGTCTTTTTCTCAGGTTCTTTTGTTTTTGCTGTCATTCATGTGGTTCCCTTAAATAGATCAAAGCTCTGGATTGGATTTTTGCTAGTCAGTAAACCAAACTCCTCTTTTTGTCCTACCTATTTCATCAGAGATCTGTCCCTCTGAACAGGGCACACAATCATAGCAACAAAATTTCTCTCCTTCCTTCTTCTTTCTGCTGGAGCCTGGATAGCAGTGGTCATTGCACGTAGAAATGGGAAGCACCTGAACAATAATAGGTATGAGAGAATCAGAGAATAAAGTACTTAAAATAGTAAAACTTTCCAAAACAGGAACCCACAATCAGAATGAAGAAGCAGGGGAGAAAAATGAAAATGAGGAAACTTGAGTTAATAGGAGGGAATTGGCATTGACTTCTTTGGATGTTCTAGCAGAGGATCTAGAATGTCAGAAAATTATGTTTTCTTAGGATCTGACAGGTATTTGGATTAGGTTTTTTTTTTTTTTTTGCTAAAGAAAAACAAATGTAATCCAGAATGTTTAAAACCAGAATGTGGCACTACAGATAGTCCCAGATATACAAACAGAATGGGGTGCAGAATTTCAGTCATAAGATGCTGCAGTTCAAAGTCAGGATACTGTGTGAAATATTCAATTTTTGCAACAATTTTACAATGGTTGCAAAGTGAATCACATCATTGTTAATCCAGTTACATATTCATTAAGAAAATCTGCCAAATAAGATTTTTGTTTGTTTGTTTGTTTTGCTGATAACTGGCTAAAAATTCTGCAAATCAGGGTTATGTCACTATGCGACACTGCAACTGTATCTGAGCCAGTTGGCATGAGCCAGAAATGTGATCATGTGACAAGAAGGAAGGCTGCAATCTCTGCTTTGAGGAAATGTCATTTTCTTCAATTATTGCCATGTATTTCACAATGGCTCCAAAGAGCACTTTTTCTTCTATTATTAGTTATCAATCTGCAGCTTCTCCTCACCTGGTTAAAGCTTCTGTGCCATACAATTTGATTGTCATCAAGAGTTAATTCTCTGCCTGGTGGAGCCCGAGGTTCCAATGTTCCAACCTTCACTCGAGAAAAAGAATTATTGGGGAAAGTAATCCAGTTTGCAACATCAAAACCCGTAATCAGTTGTCTGTTTTCATCAAATGTAATAGTGTCTCCTATACTGTTGTTGAATACAATGCTTTTCAAGACAAAATGAAACTATATTTAAAAAAAAATGAAAGAAATTAAGAGCAAGACTTGTAATCATAACAACTGCATAAAATTATTTCAAGCTGAACTAGCCTGCTTTGAAAAATGCAAATGAGGATTGAATGTACTTCAAGTCCTTTGATAACATGTCCACAACTGCTTTCCTAGGAATAAGAAAGAGTGACTGGTCTAAGCTCACCAGTTGGCTTTGTGCCTAAACAGGAGTAGAAGTCACATCTCCCAATTTCTAGTTTGGTACATTAACCAAAATGGTTGTCATCCTACATCTTCCATATTTTACTTCCAGCTCATTAAGCTCATTAAGAGCCATGGTGATGCAGTGGTTAAAATGAAGTACTGCAGGCTACTTCTGCTGACAGCCGGCTGCCTACAATTTGGCAGTTCAAATCTCAACAGGCTCAAGGTTGACTCAGCCTTCCATCCTTCCAAGGTTGGTAATATAGGGACCCAGATTGTTGGGGGCAATATGCTGACTCTGTAAACTGCTTAGAGAGGGCAGAAAAGCACTGTGAAGTGGTATATAAGTCTAAATGCCACAGTATTGCTAATGCTATTAATTGTTGACTGTTAATCCCTTTTAACCACAGTTAAATATGCCCCATTTTTTCAAAATATTAAAAATAATTGTTGTTATCTTCAAAGCAGAGATTTATGCTAAATAGATTATAACGGTTTTTATGATAAACAGAATTTCCAGGAACATGAGGGAAGTTAACTCACAATGATTGTCTAATTAGAAAACCCACAGTTTTTTGGCTGCATAGAATATGAAATCACTCCAAAATGGATTCTCAAATAGTGTTTCTCAAATTCCATGACAAAGTAGCCAGTCCTCATTGACATAGATGGATTATCTACATCAGAGGTTTCCAACCTCTGGGCTATAGCCCATTACTGGATGGTGAGTGCAGGTGCAGCTCCATTTCCACAAGCAATGGGCATGCACTCTCACATGTGAAGCCCACTGCTGGGACAAATAGACCTTCACATGCACACGTGAGAGTGCCTGCCACTTATGCAAGTGGAGCTGCATATCTACCACTCACAAAAAAACATTTTTTCTCCCCCACCGCCAGTCCACAAAGCTGTAAAGGTTGGTGACTACTGATCTACATTTAATAACCCAACTGGAAATTTAGAAGATACAATTTTATCTTTACTGAATTCTGAAACTCTAAACATAATAAATATTTAATCTTAACATAATTGTTCTTTCTCACTTCAACAGCCTCACTTCATAGTTTGTATATTTTCTATGGCTCTTAGATTCCAAAACAGATTAATATGTAAAACTACTGCTCTTAGGAAAAACAACAATGGCCATCCCTGTATAAAGGCTGTGGGTCTAGTAAATTCTGTAGAATAGAAAAACGCTTCTCCTAAACCAAAGATAATTTAAATTAGTAGTTATATTTTTCCCATTTGGGAAAGAAATATCCCTACAAAATAAGTACTCATATAAAAGCTTTTATTTTCAAAAGGAAAAGTGCTTTTTATTCAACAAAATTCATTGGTATAACAGTGCTGTGTAACATTATTCCCAGTAGCTTTATGTATAACATCATTCCCAATATATGATGGTGCAATTAAACAAACCATTTTCATGTAATAGAAATAAAATAAAATACCTGCCATGGTTGTAAATCCTGAAATATTACTTGTTCTGTTCCTATTGCATTTCTACATCTGGATCTGGATTTGAGTAAGACATCCAAAGAATGCACCATAACATAGACTGCATTATAAATGTTGTAGCTGTGTCCACTCATGCTCGTTTCAAATAATATACTCGGCACACTCTCTAACTTCTCATCCCCAGTGCACAATACCTTGTTATCTTCATTTATACTGGACATGTGTAATGGGCAGTCAAATGCCTGCTCCCAAAAATTCTGAATGAAACTGTCTTCTTTTGCCCAAGATGGCCTTACAGTGTGAAGAAATTCTTGGAATCCAGGGGGCTCTTTTGAGCGAACTGTGAATGATAGAGCACCATAGAAACTCTGTATATCCCAAAGTCTCTGAACAGACATTGATTCAAAATTCCAGTGGGATGTAATAATCCACACTTTACCTAAAAGTGGCCATGAAAAAACAGATGCTACAAGGATGATCATTCTCAGATTTTGCATGGCTGGACTTAGGGCGTAGATTAAACACACTTTGACTTTATCCTCCACAAAGAATTGATCATATCTTAACTGCACTGTAAGCAACTGAATATATTCATCTATATATGCCTTCCTTGGTGTTCTACATATGAAAGCATAACAAATGCTGTTTTGGAAAAGCAATGGTTCAATTTTCTGCAAAAACATGTGCCCATAGTCATCATCCACAGCCAAGATCCCAATCCAATTCCATCCAAAATGCTGAAGTAACTGAATAACCCCAGTGTATTGATGCATTTCATTTGGGACCATTTGGTACAAGGATGGAAATAGATTTTTCTCACCATGTACTGAAGAAAATGTTCCATAGGCAAGCTGAAAGTCAATATGTAGCAAATTATCAAAACCATTACATAAGAATATGAAATGGGATTCATATTCATCATAACTAAGGCAAAAAGTTGGCACTGACCTGTAGCTGGAAATTATGTAGTTAGTTCATATACCATGTTTCCCCAAAAATAAGACTTAGTTGTATATTTTTTTGAACCCTGAAATAAGCACTTGGCCTTATTGCCATGTGCTCAAAAGTTTTATTGGTCTTATTATCAGGGGATGTCTTATTTTGGGGGAAATGATATTTCCAGTATTGTATCAGTTATAAGCATCACCTATGTTTCTAAGCCCATTTTAACTGAATGTGAAAACACTTAAAACATAGCACAAAACTGAAAGCAAGGCATTTATTATCTGAAAAAGTCTTCTTGTTTGATTTCCTGAAGGGAATCAAGTACCATGTAGGACAGGCAGAATGTTTTCTGTAGTGACCCAACCATTTTAAAACTCAACAGGAGTTTGCTAATCTTCTCTATTTTAGGGAATCTACAAAGAATCCTTAATTTCTAAATTACTCATCCCCATAGTTTATTTGTACAGTGTTTTCCTAGATTTTCCACTCGGAAAGTGAAGTCTGGAAAGGTGCTTTAAGAAGGAAAGAAATTAAAGAAATTGAGATTTCTAGAGAGTAATCTCAAGGATCTACCTGTGGAATCTTGTAGTTGCCAAGGACTGTGGCCATGATGAATGAGGTCTCCGACAAACGTCCTCCGATAGCAGCAATTAATGTTTTCTTTAAATCACAAGTAAAGTTGGGAACAAATTTCTGCTGTGTAGAAAGTAAGTCCAATGTTGCCTTATAGGTTACCCTCTCAGGGAAGTAATTGTTCACAATGTGAAAACCCAATGTGATGTTCGGTAGGAGCTTAGGGTTCCTATTTATTTCCTTGACAGCAAACACCAAAGCAAGGAGGTGTTGATACGTCTTTGGCATAGAACTGCAACAAAAACTATCAATTTAACTAAGCTCATCTTTCCCTTATACTTGGGTACTGAAAACTATAAAACTGAATGCCATGTCGTTCAAAGTCATCCATAGAACCAGTCCGACAATTAACTGAGAGGCAGTTCCTTCAAGCTACAGTTGCTGAAACTCAGCAGTTAGGTGGAAGAGATGCTGAAACTCTTAAATAACCGAACTCCTCAAAAGAGTTGCTATACCTTGTCTCATTGCAAGTGTTCAAGAAAAAAATCAATGTGACTTTAGATTGGTGTCTGAATGGACTAGGAGAAAGCAATTCTTATATCTCCTTGAGGTGACAAAATAATTTGTACCTCTCCAAAGAAAAGGCAAGTTGTTTTTTATTTAATCTCCTGCCATAATTTGTCATTGGAAAGACACAGTTTACAAATCATAGACATGAAATATGCTTTGAATCCATATCTAATTGTTACACTTCTTGTTTAATATGTAGCCTTATTAACAAATCTCCTTTCCCATCAGGTATGGTACAATCCATGGCATGTGTTTTGCTTATAATACAGTACATGAACACTTAGAGCATCATTGATGCCATCCCCATCCTATTTTTGGTAATATCAGACAAGCATAGAAAAACTCAAAGAAGTAGTTCAGGTTCACAGTTGTAGGTGACAGGCCCATAGAATCACCAAGAGTGAACATCATCATGTTATCTATTCAAGGTGCTACCACAAAGAAAAGCAGATTAACCTATTCTCCAAAACACCTGAGGGCAGGACACAAAGCAACAGATTGAAACTAATCAAGGAGAGAACCAACCTACAACTAAGGAGAAATGTCTTGACAGAACAATTAATCAGTGGAACGACTCGCTTCCAGAAGTTGTGGTGCTCCAATGCTGTAGATTTTTTAAAAGAGATTTGACAACCATTTGTCTGAAGTGATGGTTGGGCTTGAAGACCTCCAAGGTCCTTTTTAACTCTGTTATTCTGTTATCATCATCATCAAAATGGTTGACAATTGTGATTCAAGAAAACATAGATTTTCCTATACATAAAAGTTTCCTATGTCTACAAAATTAAATTCCATGGCATCGTTTTTGACTATTCTTATGGCCTCTAAGAAAGTTACCACAGTACTGGAATGTTTTCTCCCAACCTATTCTTTTTTTTTCAGTCTTCATGCATGTGTGTTTCTTTGTACTTCTACCTCCTTTCAATTCTTTAATATCCTTTGAACTAAAGCCATTAAGGGAAAAAAGAGTTTTCTATTTCAGAAGCTACTTTGCAATCTTCATTTCTTTTTTTAGCTGATGGTGAGAAAAGGTATTTTCCTCACTGACTATAAACTAAATAAGATTCTGCAAGTGTTACTATAGCTTATATTTAATAAAGCTTCCATTTCTTTACGTTCCCTTCTATGATCTCTCAACATGCTGAAGATAAATTACATTATCTAAAGTGATATAGTCAGCAAATACAGAGAGTATGACTGTTTTCTTAGTCCTATTAGAGTAATACCAGAATATTATATGAGATCAGAATAAAAAGGCTACAAATGACACTTCTCTCTAAACTATTCAACAAATGATATTTTGAAGATAAGTAGAAGCAGTTTTATTATTAGCCAGAACTTCTGACAAATTATCATAAACTATTACAAATGGTTTATTAATCACAAAGGAAACATCAGTAGAATTGTACACAGATTTGCTGCAGTGAATGAAGGTACATGATGTTTTTCCGTAGTAGCCAATTTCTTACATTTCAAAAAGAGAGAAAATCAATTAACAGAAAATTCCCAAGGACATTGTGGGTATAAAAATGTTCAAAGACTTTTATCACTATAATCCTGCTGCTTAACTCTTCCCCCCACCAATTATTTTGCCCTTACTAGTCTGAAGAGGAAAAGAAGTAGAATTCTTACATCACTTCATTGATTAAGGTCCGAGAGGGATCTTCTGTGAAGGAAGGGCTATTATGAAAGAAGAAGGCTTGAGAGACAATTGCCCCAAAGATAACATTTCCTGGCTGAGCAAATTGATGGGCTATAGGAAGAGGGTCATCGGGTATGCTACAATTCATAGCATATGTTTTGCATGTAATACAGAACAGGAACACAAGGTGCATCATCCCAGTGTTGATAATTTCCATCCTGAAAAACATAGATGTCCCTGCACAGAAAAATATTCTATCTCTATTCCATTAAACTACATGGCATCATTTTTTAAATATCTTTAAATATAAGGTCTCTAAGACAGTTGCCACAGTACTACAAAGAAATAGGAGAGGAAGAAGGGGAAAAAAAGAAGAGAAAAAATTACAGAAACTATTAAGAATGAAATATGTTGGGGCATGAAATGAAGACTTGAACTGAGACCCTTCAAATAATAGTTGTCTATACCCTATTCAACAAAATATATTTTGAAATTAGGTAAATGCACTCACAGTAGGTTGACTTTCTGAAAATTCAGTTTCATAAGGAACGTATAATTTGGACCATTGGGGAAATAATCAAGTCCTCTCCAATTCTAAATATTTTGTAATCTCTCCTGAGAAAAGGGCTCAAAGTGTGTATTTAATTACTGTAATTTGATTTGATTTTTTTACAGCATAATAGTGTGTTAAGCCTTTTTTTTAATCAAATTTCCTGACAGATACACAAGGCAAACTTCATATACAATAAATTGATAGAGTGATTAAAACTGAAAAAATATACTAGGTAAATCTGGTACACTGGATTCATTTCCACGGATACATTAATTACCCTAGGTTGTTTATCAAATCAAAGAAATCTTTGATCTATCTATCTGAGGCATCATTATACCATTCTAATATATCAACATCAGCTAACTTTGATATGAAAAGGAGCAAACATGATTCATTAATAGAGGGGGGAATTACCCTTTTCATCATATACCACATAGTCCAGCAATACTAGATTCATTCACTCAGGTCAGAATTCCACAATTGCATATCAACCTACTCATCAGATAAAGTCAAACTTTGTTGCAAGTGTGGTTTTATTTTATTTTTTTCAAAGAATGAAATTTCTCTTTCTTTTAATGGAGTATTAGTCCCATGTCAAAATGTAGATCACATGACCAGACACCAGACATTTATATTTTATTCGATTTTAGTAATCTAGTTGAAATGTTAATTTATATCGCCAGTCCATGTATCATATATGATATTCCATATGCTAAGTAAATAAGTATTAGTGCCATAACCTAGTACTAGATAAAGTAGAAAAATGTGGGTTAGGCAGCATCACCACCAGATGGATTCATAAACTGGCTGACCAACCGCACTCAATGTGTAGTCCTCAATGGAACTGCATTTACATGGAGGGAAGTATGCAGTAGAGTACCCCAAGGCTCTGTTTTAGGCCCAGTACTCTTCAACATCTTCATCAATGACTTGGACGAGGGAATCACTCCAGAAGATAGGCTCAAGATACAGAAGGATCTTGACAGACTTGGACATTGGACGCTATCTAACAAAATAAAATTCAATGGTGAAAAAAGTAAGGTTCTACATTTAGGCAAGAAAAACAAAATGCACAGGTACAGTATATGTGGTACCTTGCTCAATAGTAGCAACTGTGAGAGGGATCTTGGAGTCCTAGTGGACAACCATTTAAATATGAGCCAGCAGTGTGCAGCAGCTGCTAAAAAAGCCAACACAGTTCTATGCTTCATAAACAGAGGGATACAATCAAGATCACATGAAATATTAATACCACTTTATAATGTCTTGGTAAGGCCACACTTGGAATACTGTGTTCAGTTTTGGTCACCACGATGTAAAAAAAAAGTTGAGACTCTAGAACAGGGGTCCTCAAACTAAGGCCCGCAGGCCAGGTACGGCCTGCCCAGACCATTAATCTGGCTCATGGGGGACAAAGAGGCTGCCCCACCCACCTCACCCCGCCTGCCCACCAGCCCCTACCCTTCAGCCAAGCACAGGACTTACTTTAGCAGGCAGAGTGTTTG